TCCAAACCTATTTTACTAATGATTCAGACCTCTTTTTATAATTCCTGTAAGCTTGCTAGATAACTGTTGCATAGAAATTCTTAAACTGATAGTTATATTATCTCACAATCAAGAATTCTTAAGATCACTGATCTTCCTCAAAAAATACTTTACTAAAGTAGTTATACAGTATATTGGAGGATCTAACCTAGAATATACAGATCACATTTTTTATCTAGCAGGTAATACATTTCACAACTTTACCAGGCAATCAAATACATACTGAATTTTAGTTGTATATTTCATGGGATAGTATAAAAAATCACTGTATTATTATAAAGTACTGATTCAGCTAAGTAATTATATATGAATATATACTATTTTAATAAAGAATCTATAGTTCAGAAAATTCATTACACATACTCACAATTATTATTGAAATCTGAGAAATCTATTCTATTATACTTTTCTTTAATAGTAATCTCTTCAGATTTAAAATAGTTGATTTTTAACGAATCATATGAATATTATTTGCCTACTTTTTACACATACAGTATATTGTGCATATTCTGAACTTTAACGAAGTTTACAATAATGTTATTATCTACTCTGCTAATATAATGATATTTATGATTTGCTAGACATTTTAATATAAGAGACCAATCTTCATAAGTAACAATTCTATAGCTTTACTGATACAATTTTATAAAAGTAACTATATATAGACTCTCACCAAAAGTCTTCAGACATTTTTTGGCTCAATATAAAACTTGGAATTTTTAAATTTTATTAAAAAATATTTATATTTATTAAATATTTATTAAAGTACAATATACTACATATCTAATACTAAATAATTAGTATTTAGTCAGACTTCCATTTGCTTCAATTACAGCTTGAATTCACTATGACATACTATCGACCAAATTTTTGATAGTTTGTATCAGAATTTGTTTTCATACCCTTATAACATATTGATTGAGTTGAACAAGGTTAGAAGATAATTTTTCCTTTCACAGATGCTCTTCTTGACTTCAGTCCATAGATTCTCAATAGGATTAAGATTTAGATTTTGAACAAACTATAGAAGTATGCATAGACCATTTTTTGTATGAAACTTCTTTGCAAGTTTTATTTTGTGAAGGTAAGCATTATCCTTTTAGAATATACTATTACAGTTTGAAAATGTGTGCCTCATAGTTAACATGATACGCTTGCAAAGAATGGTAATATGTGTAGAACCAGTGACTGTTCCAGAAAATGGAACAATCAGTCCTAAGCTTTGTCTTGAAAAGCACTTCTAAAACATTTGGCTAGGACTATATTTTACTGTGACAAAAACACAAAAAATGTTCTATTTTTCATGAGGTTCACATCATACTTGACTACAACAGCTTTGTTGAAATTATGAAAAGGTAGATTCGTTACTTTACATGACCTTTAACCAATCATCTTTTGTTTAACTTTAGTATTTCAAACACTATGCAAGACATGTCTTAACATTTGTTGGTATGATTAAAGGCTTTCGTCAAGTAATACAATTGTTTAACCCAACTGTACGAAGAGTCAGACTAATAGTGCGAGTTGAAATATTTTGGCTAATCTTTTTTTGCTAAAGTTATACTTCTGCAATGCATAAGCGACGATTTTTTTTTATCATTAGTGATAATTCGCTTAAGCCAGCTTCACCTTAAATCTTTAATTAAGGGTGGTCGACCAAATGAGGCTTTAAATTAACAGTTCTGGAGTCATTCATTCTTTTTAAAGTATCAAGAACTGTTAACTTTTCATAACTGATAGTCACGGTAATTGTTCGATAATTATAACTGTGTTGACAACAAAAAATTATGCCACTGTATTGTTCTATTGTTAATTCTTTGGATATTTTCATTGTTTTAAAAAAGATAAAATTTTATTTTGATCTAAAATCAAAATAAACAAACCAAATACATATTTATTTGGTTTGATTCAAGTAAACAATATCCAGAATATTATATAGTTGCAATTTTATACAGTCACATGATGTAATCAGAATAAAAAAGCTCCTGAAAGATAATGTCTAGAGACTTTTGATAGAGGTCTATATGCTACAGTATTTAGACAATTATATAACTGGTATTTTTTCATTTTTACCTAATCATTAGGAGAATAATATATATATTTCTTATACCTTGTAATCCATTTGGTTAGATATTCTTTAATATATTTTTAAGCAATATTTTTGTTATATGTTTTTTTAAGGCAGTTGACATATTCATCAGTATGTAAATCATATTTTTCTTGAGTCTGAGGATTTATTTTTCTTTCATAAATTGAAAGTATACCTAAATATTTTTTTCTATCAGAAGTGCTATCATTTCTCACTATATTTTAAACTTATTTTACCAATATCTCAGGTTTTAACTTATAATTCCTTTAAGCCTGTTGGATAAGTTTTGCACTATTAATTAATTGATATGTAACACTTTTTTTAAATTCTTTTGTAGCATTATTATAATAATATTCAGAGTTTTTTTTTAATCTAAAATAAGTATTATAATAAATTTTATCAATTTCATCAAAACTAAGTGATGATACTTTTCTACTTTTTCGTATCCTTAGTAAAGTTCTAAAATATGTGATACACCTTTATTCTATTTTAGCAATGCATTCATTAAGATGTTTAGTTGCATATTTCTCAGTATTATCATAAATAAATACTAAGGAGTTACATACAGTGCAATAAATATGAAAAGAACGTCTTATAGCTCTAAATTCCTCATATTTATATTCTTTTTTAATGCATATGAATAAATTCATTCTTGAAGAAGAATTTAGGATTATATTCAAAGAGTTTTTTAAATGGAATATGAATTCTGGAATACCACATTTTTAGCGTTTTATCACTATATTTATAATGCAGATTGTTCAACGCCTACACTACTACAGGATTTAAACTAGAATAGTTAGTTTTACCATTTTATAGTTTATAGCTGATCTTTAGTGATTTATAGCATTTTAACGAATTATAGAAATTTCAACGTATTATATAAATTCTTTATTGACCTATACTAGATAATATTATGATTCAAATTTATAGCGATTTTTTGATTTGTAGCTGATTTAGTAAGACTACATATTGTTAAACCCAAATTCATTTTTAGCCCTTGTTCAAAGAACTTTAGGGTAAAAAAAGATTCATATTTTTTTCCTAATATTATGATTTGACTAAATTATACATAGCGCTAATTTGTATCACATATAATCTCCTTAATTCTAGAAGCTGATGAATTTCTATAAATCACAAAATGTTTAGTAAGGGATACTATTTTTTTACATTAATCAAATATGCATATCAAAACACAGTAATTTGTGACACAATACATTAAAAGCACTTTGACAATTATATATATTTGTTAAACCCGTAATAAATAATAATGAAAAAGTAACTCAAGCTAGAGAAAAATTTTTGTCAAGACTTTGATCATTACCAATGGTAATAGTTTTAATAAATAACATGATACATTCAAAATGCATAATCACAAAATAACATTTGCTTATGTATGCATAATCCATTTAAACGAAATCTTTATTCACTAATACACTATAAAACATTAATTAAGACATACTAAGTATTTTTACAATTACAGAAAGTTATCAAAAGTTTTTGAACGAATTTTTATGCAATATAAAATGCTTATTTTTTAAAACTCAACCAAAAAAATTTTATTAAAACTTTATTTTAAGCTTACTAAAACCTACATTTTGTATTATTAAACTAGTATTTAATTTGGCTACCTTCTATCACAATCACTGCTTGAATTTATGCTGACATACTATTGATTAAATTTTCGATCAAACATTTCAGAATTGCTTTCCATGCATTTTTAACATCCCTTTCAAGTTCAGCAAAGTTGATTGGCTTTTTCTTTTTATTTCTAATTTTCTTTTTTATTTCAGCCTATAAATTTTTAATTGGGCTAAGGTCTGGGCTTAAGTCTGGGCTTTGAGTGGGCCAAGAAAGAATGTGCAGATTTTTTTCTACACAAAATGATGATGCAACCTTTGTTTTGTAAGGTCTAGCATTATCTTCTTGAAACAAAGCATTATCTTTTTGAAACAAACTATTGTTTCTTGGAAACATGTGTTTTATTGTAGGTAAAACATATTTTCGCAGTATTTCAACGTGAGTAGCTTCGGTTGCTGATCCATGAAGTGGTACAATTGGTCCCATCCCTTTTCATGAAAAACAACCCCAAAACATGCAGCTTGGGCTGTGTTTAACTGTGGTAGAAACACAAGAGAGTGACTATTCATCTTCTGGTTCTCTTCATACTCTGCTAGTATGACTTTACTGAAATTGAGTAAAGGTTGATTCATCACTCCATAATACTTTTGCCCAATCATTTTTTGTCCAACTTTCATGTTCTAAACACCATGCAAGTCGTGCCTCTTTATTTGCTGGTGAAATGAGAGGGTTTCGTCATGCAACACAACTTCTTAATCCAATTGAATGAAGGGTGCGACGAATGGTAATTTCTGAAACATTCTGGCTTGTTTTTTTCCATAGTTCTTTTCTTCCAGTAGCACATAATCGTCGATTTTGTGCTTTTTCGTTTATTACTAAACTGTTTAAGCTGATTGCGATTCGTGATATCAATCAGGTGCAGTCATTTAGGACGAGGCTTAGAATCAATAGATCCAGTTTCAGCATGCCTTTTTAATATATCATAAACTGTTGTTTTGCCACATCTAATAGTTTCTGCAATCTGATTATATAAATTACCATTTTACGAAGATAAAATATAGCACCTCATTGTTCTGAAATCAATTCGTTATTTTTTCCCATTGTTGCAGTTGTAACCACAATTTGTAAAAAAAAATAAAGTGAGAAAGAAAAAATGAAGTTAGAAATGTTTTTAAGACAAATAAACAAAAACAACCCATATTTGTATAATAAACATTTACCTTTTTTGTATAGCAATCGCGTTCTAAAAGTCACGTTCAGAAACTTATGATAACCCTCTGTAGAAATCCGATATTTAGTACAAATTATTTAAAATTCCAAAAGGATCTTGCTTTTGCTTTTTCACGAAAGGAGGGGAATCTGTGGTACTGTGTAAAGGCGATGATGGCGGAGATGGCATATTTAGTCGTTTTTGAGCGATTATCCTTATTATCTTAATCAGATCTATTAATGTATGCTATTTATAATTTATAGTATAAAAATCAGCGAATACCAGTGATTTGACGGAAAAATATGCTATAGCCAATACATACCTGTAATGCTAAAAGATTCTTCAGAAAATCTGGCAGAAGGTCTTCCATATCTGAGAATGTCATAGGAAATATAAGTGTTGCCATCTCAATGAAAAAATAAAAGTTCTGCAAATTGTCATAGGAAAGGGAGTAAATCAACCATCTTATACCTATATAATATGAGAAAAATTTTTGGTAAAAAAAAAAACACAGAATGCATAACTCAAGATGTCTTTTACCTACTAGTAATTTGGATGCTAAGAGCAAAAACCTCTTCTAGTTCTACCTTTTTGAAATGTAATTTGCCCCACAATGTATCTAAGCAATCTTTCATCATCACCTTTAATTTTGAGTGGTCTTTTGATATTTTGTATCATCCATTGGTCCTGAGGTATTTCCTACTTCAAGTGGTAAGAGTTTGGCTTGATAACTTCGCAATGAAATGATTAAATCCATTTTTTTCATATTCTTCTAGAAGCGTGCCAATTATTGGACTAAGAACTTTGACAATGAAGTCACATTTTCTATGTTTCAAAACTAGGACATTTACCTCTCTTCGTAAACAATGATGGCTAAATAGAATCCAGTCAATATTTGTAAAGAAAATCTAATGTTAAAGTATTTAAAATAAACTTACAAAAAATCAATTATTTCAACAGTTAACAGCGAATCTTCAAATAAATCTTCCAAATTCATAAATTTATTTCTCTACAATATTAGATCGTCTGGTGACCTCTACTAACACTATAATGATTGAATGTATTATGAAAATAAGAAACTGTATAAAAAAAGAACTTACCATCTGACCAGATCTATCACGTAACAATTGCTGTACATCATTATTAATTTTGTCTTTAAAAAGCTTTTTTCTTAATTTAATGAACAATTACGAATAGTCAGACGTCTTAAGGATCCTGTTCCATTCGACCTTAGTCCATTCTGAGAGATCTATAATTCGTGATTAAATAGACCTGAAATTACATAATAGTTAGCGCACATTATTGTGAAAAAGCATGCAATCACAATAACATACTGTACTCGCAAACTGTTTTTCTTTAGTCGTTCCATTACTTTTGTCCAAATTTCTTCAAGAGAAAAGTTCAAGAAAAGTAAGGCAGACATCTGTATTGTCATTGAAAGATATCAGATATTGTCTATAAGATTGTTTCAACATTTTCAGCATATCTATTACCTTGTATACAACAATTTTATCAAGATCGTTGTTATCTGCTTCTTGATCTTCTTGATCGTAAGTTTGCGCATTGAAATCACTCGACTCTTGTACAGCTTTGGAAACAATTTGACCATTCTTAAGAAGAGAAGAGATAAAAGAGATAAATATATAATTGAGACAAAATACGATTTGTGTTGACATAATGATATCAACAAACTTCGACTCCATCCATTATTTCTCCCCTAAGATCTTCATCGATGGTTGATGTTGTGTTTGTTGCATTGCGCAAATCTTCAATTGCTATTCTGACCATATGATGCTTCTAACAGGATTGTCAGTAAGACTATTACCATGTTTTATTCTCCTAAGTTTGCCTTAAGACTCACCTCCAGTGCCCTTAATGTACACTTACCTAGCAAAAATGACTGACTTTACTAAAATCGGAATAATAATACATACATTAGCATCATAAGAAAAAAATTTTTTTTATTAATTAAATTGACTTAGGTGTTATAAGTAAACTTGTACATCGTAATGAATTGTATCTTTCTTGATAATCGTATATAAATTTGGACTTTTATTGA